TTTTTTTTTTTTTTTTTTGGTATCTGGTATTATGTTGTACAAGTAGTGCTCTACAGCCGTCTACAGTGATAATGCAAGGTTTTGATGTGGCCCTCGCGAACACTCGTAACGTCTACAGCGGCTTTGCCGCGCATATAGTCAGGGTATTAATACGGTAGTGTGGGGCGATGCTTAAGAGATGGGGTGTGGGGTGTGGGGCATGGGCATAACGGGGAGGTCATCAGTAATGTGCGTCCAGTTCTTACGGTTCTAAAAACACTAAGAGATTGGCCTAGATCATCTAAGACATTATAGAGCTTTATACACATCACAGACTTCGATAGACGTTACAGAGACCTATAGAGGCTACAGCACTTTTGTAGAACTATGCAGGAATGGGATCATATGATAGCTACCGCAAAAGCTCGTGTGTGTGATAATCAGCGTAAGTGTTGACATAGTACCTACGGAATGCATCAAGTGAGTCGGAGAAATGAAATGTGGCAGGGATGCGTGTACGTCCGTAAACAGGAATGAGATGGCACGAGCGGACAATGGAATCAGCAGACACAACCCCCAAAGCCCGACGCCCATGGAGGACCTCAGGTTTCACTACCCACATGCCTGTAACCGGATCCGGACCGTCTCCGACCTGCTCGAACCATTCGAGCAAAGCGCACTCGTAACGGACAATTCCGTACACAAATGACAGGAATGCACGCACACGGCCGATAGCCATACCATACATCCCAGGGTCATCGCTCAGCTGCACAAGGACAGTATCGCGACGAGGTCCATCCTGGCGCCAACTCGGTGTGCACCTGATCATCTCGGAGTGCATGCCACCAGCACCGCAGAGCTCGCTCGGGGCGAAAAATACGGCCTTCGCACTGCCATGCACGGTAACGCGAGTCGAGTGCGCAAGCCAGGGACAGACAGCGAGTGGTATCACCACATCTGGCTCGTCGAAGTCCGGAAACAGCTGCTCACGAAGAAAGCGGCGTAGAAGCTCATGAAGAGCTGGCATGCCTAGATACTGAGCAATAGTGTTGACTGGTGCTCTGCGGACTACGAAATTGAAGTCAACAGCTGTCCCGAACAAAGCGAAAATGACGTACTGTATCGTGCGGAGAGATGAACTTGTGATTCGATGTGCGGTCCGGCCTCATCAGCGACATCTTGTTCATTTGCGTGTAGCTCTTCGCGCTCCAATTGAGCATCTTGCGGCGGTGCGAGGCCCACCTGTATGCCATGCTTGGATCAGGTGCACCAATCGGAAGCAAAATGGGTCAGACTCACCTTGCGAAGGGCGTAAGAGATCAAATCCCCATGCAACAAGCCACGACGGCCTAGCTCGACACGTAGCGCAGCGAGCTTCGTGAGACGTGTGTTTGTGCGAAGGATTTGCAATAGCGGGTTGTTGCGGTTCGATGCACGCCAAGGACGCTTCACAGCAGCGATGTGCTTCGACTCGCTGATTGAAGTGCACACACCGTTGGGCGACCCAAAGAGCTTGATCATCCGGGTATAATGGAGAAGTGCGTGTTGTCGGGGTAGCGCAAAACCGTTCGGTCGCACACCAGTCTCGACGAAGATTGAGCGAAGCTCGCAGAAGCGTGCCAACGCAGCATCCATGGCGTCGAGGGAGGTGGTGTCGTGAGAGGGGCGCCTCGCAAGGTATGCGAACTCGAGGAACGCATCAAGACAGCGTATCATCTTGTCAGGAACGTATCCGGTTAGCACCGGCAGGAAGACCTGCAAGGATACATAGTAAGCAAACATTACGAGAAACAAACCGGATCGCACAGGCCTTCATGAGTGCCTTCGAGTCGTTGCCCGTCCACTGCTTGAAATTTCGCCCTTGCGGAAAGCGCCGTAGCCCAGGAAATGCGGGGACACTGGCGATCCTGTGAACGTATCAGCAGATGATTCAGAATCACTGTCACAGAAAACAAACCGCCGATCGATATCATCGAGTATCCGCTTTGCTTCACGCTCGCTCTCCGCAGTCAACGTGATGTAGTTGATGACCCACGCCACAAGATGGTCTTTGAATGTGCCCTTGATGAGCTGATGGAGGAGGTCGGGTGTGA